TTAATTAAATATCATTATCAAATCCTCCTACTAATTACTATATATATATATATATATATATATATATATGTTTATAACAGTTTATAATTTTAAAAAACAAGAATTATAACATTCATCGACTGGTTAGTGGGTTAATGCATTTTTAAAATTTAGTTAGCGAAGTCAATTCGCCATTTTATCTCATTAACTTTACTAATTTACTTTTTTTGTATGAATGATTTATTGTAATATATATATATATATATATATATATATATATATATATATATATATATACCGTCATCCACAGACAGACTGTTTTGCTGTATCACAGCTTCTCAATGTGGCTAGACATCTGATTGCTTCAAGCTGTGACTGAAGCCTGACCAATTCGGTATCAGTCGAAGTTTCTAACCCCTAGGCTATCAATGCCCAGCAGAGAGAACGGTGTATATTTGTGTATTTATTTTTTCATAAACATGCCAGTGACCTAGAGGACTCAATTCCTTGGGAGAGTCATGCATCATTAGCAGTAATAGTCACTGTTTACAAATATGCATTATATATTTCGTCAGCAAGAATTCTTTCAAACATGTTTGGTTAAATAATATCTCTCTGTCCGATATTTTATTAATTTTTCAAATTTATGAATTAGTTCTTTTATACAATTGGTAAATTTATCAAAGTTCATATTTATTTATTTTTCACTGAGTACTTTTGAATGTTTATACATGGTTAATTGGATAAATGAAAGTTGGAAAAAAGGTAGACTAGCCTGCTGCTGCTTCTGCTGCTGCTTCTCTGTTGCTTGAAAACGTCCATTAAGTTTGGGAAGGGGAAATAACTGAATTATTTAATACAAGAATTACAATTACACATCTCAGAAATAAAAATGAAATATTAAATTAAGAAACAGTTGTTTTGAGTGTTAAACATTTCTTTAATATGAAACACTCATCAATTTTGTAAAAAAAAACGATGATATATGATTTGGGGGTTGGATAAAAAAAATTCAGTCTTGAATGCTGATTTTCAAGGCAGGCAAACCTTCATCAAGTAAAAAAAAATGGGTACAATATCTACTGCAATCATTTTGTTCATTGTAAGCTTAATAAATGTCTATATTTTTTTATTTCAGTTTTGGTTTAACATGTTCAGTAGTATTGTAGATATTTGAATACTTGCATAATGCTGTCCATGTATTTGGTAATGTTCTCATGAGAAATTGTCATATAAGACTTCTTTGTTTTACTTTGAGGCAGTGGTTCCCAAACTTTTTTTTTTCTGGGCTGCATTTTCAGAATTAAAATTTGCTTGCGCTTCACCAAATATTACATAATAAAAAGTACATTTAAAAAAAAAAAAAAAAAACAGAGAGACGGTTAAAGGGAGATAACCATGGATTCAAAGTCAGAACATTATCATTGATAACTCTCTCCTCCAATTTGCAAACTCTATTTACTATATTCTTAATACTTGATATAATGCAAAAATATAATGATAAAATTGGTCATTAATTATTTATAACTATTTATACTGGGACTACCTGTACCTGTAACAGCATTCACCCGGGATGGGTTGAGCCGGCTCCAATATTGGAGTTTCATGGGAATTTGGAATTCACAAGCGACCGCATGTATAGCACATGAGATTTGATTATAGTGGTGAAGGTTTCGTGCAGGACCATCCACACTTTTTGTAGGGCCGATTACAGGGACCTGGTGCACTACATGCCACAAGGTCCCCAAACAAACCTCCGCAGGTTTTGAATTCAGAGTTTTTCCTTCTCCTAGACCAGTTGCCAACCCAGTTTGTTCTGCTATTTACCCATAGCTGGAGGGAGAAGAAGAGGATTTATACCTTTCCCAAGGGTATTAGCACGTAAGTGAATGTAATGGATTCGAGTGGAATTTGAACTCGGCTCTCCGATTTCTCAATCCAAGCCGCTATCCATTACTCCACCGTGCCTCCTCCTACTGGGACTCATGCATGTAATTGTAATTCATCCATAATAATATTTTAAATTTTGAAATTATATTTACTTTTGGCATATGAATTTTTTGAAAGTGTTTCTAACTCTTTGATTGTCTTTCAATCATTCTGCCTCACCTGCTATCCTTGTCTGCCACAGCTAAGAGGCACGTTGCACCATTTGGGAACAACAGCTTTGGGGAATAAAATATAAATTTTATTAACACATTAAAGAACAATGTTAATGTGTATCCTTGATACTTAGTTTCTTTTTCTGTTTCATATTGCTGTGTGATGCACGTGTGTCACAGAGTTATTATTTTTCTTTTACTGAAAACAGCTAGAAACTTCTAGGTAGTAAAATAATAACATAGAAAATAACTATTTTGTCATCACTATTTATCTTGTCCAAATAAAACCATGGAATGGACACACTTGTGTCTCAAAGGTCATATGCAACATGTGATCCAAAAGAGAGTCATGTGGCTGTGAACTTGGTAAAATTTGGTAAAGTTTAACAAATGTACTCAAAATAAAGATGATTTGTTAAAAAGAGGTTTTCATAGCTATTACTTCATACTCCCTCTTTTTATAGATATCTACATATAAAATTCTGTGACTTCAGTTAGTCTGTTCATCTAATGTAATCTGTATCACCCCTAAAGTAGCCATACCATGACCAATTGAAACTAAATTTTAAGGAGAAGTGGAAACAGGTACAGGGTTAAAAAGTACAGTTGGTTTTACCAGGGTGCTTAGCATAGTATAATAAATTTTCATTAATTTTTTTTGGAAAAATTAAAAGGTTTATTATTTAACATATATTGCATATCTTTTCATTAAGTTTCTATATACAAGAATCCAGTTTCCACTTTTGCCCTGCATTTGTGAGAACTATCACAAAGCCAAATGCTTCAAAAAGTTGGAATTTGGCTCCAGAAAGAAATATTTATGCATGGCCAGTTGTATGTTGCATGCTCAAGAGAAAGAATTCTTAAAAATTTATTCTTTATTGTTAAAAAGGAAAAAAGAAATTTTCTTAAAAATATTGTTTACCATGAAATTATTAAACAGCAAAGTAGGCTTTTTGTCAAAGTATTTTTTCAAACAAATCAGCTTATTCAAATTTCATTGATCGGTTTACAAAATTGAATGAAATGTAGAGTTTGTAAATCATAACAAAAATGTTAATTTCAACAATACTAAATATTGTGAGGATTTCAATATGTGTCAGTGTGTTTCAAAAAATTCTAGTTTTGTTAGAAAAGAGGTCTTCACAGCTGTTACTGCATACTCCTTCTTTTTGTGGGCATTTTGTTAAACTTTGCCAAGTTATTATTGTAAATAGTCTAATAAATAGTGTTGAACATTTTTGTTGTCAGTTCTCAAGAAAATAAATCTATAAATTCAGATGCTCTTAATCTATTTGAATGAATTTATGTGGTGAGAACAAATGAAAAAATGCTAATAAAATGCATCCTTTCCCAAGTTTATAATTACAGTAACCTGTCGTTATGTATTTATTTATATTTTCTTTTATAGTTCAGAAACACTTTTATAAATTTTTGAATAAGAAATGTTCATAGTTATTTCTTTCTGATATGATAAATAATAACTATTACATTGTAGATGGTTCCCATATTTTTTAATCTTGCAAATATAAAATTAATCTTGCAAATAAATAATCTAATAAATATTTACACTATTTACATTGTCCAAACTGTTGTCCTCATCTTTATTGTCATATTCATGATGTTTCGGCCATTGTATGCTTCAGACATATGGCCCAGTGGACAAAAGCATTAGTCAAAGTAATCTAAAATGTGACCAGTTGTGAGTTCAATACCTATCCACAGCAGAGGTGAACAAAAACTTGGGGAGTTGAGTTCCTAAAGGGAATTAACTGAAATTGAGATATCCAGAAAAGGCATGACATGTGGAGCTAGAACAATCTACCTCTGTGGACTAAATAAAGGGTTTGGTTGGAAATTCCAACATATATCACCTGAAGAAGGCTTGAGCATATAGCAGCCGAAATGTCATGAATATGGCATATAAAGATGAGGACAACAGTCTGAACAATGTAAATAGTGTAAATAGTTTCAATACCTCATCTCGGAAATATAGACAGATGATAAATATATAATGTTTAATAATTTGTTGTCAATTTTCAAGAAAAAAATTATGTATAAATCTTGTATCATGCTTTCCTTTTATTAAAATTCTAAAATAACTTTTTAAAGCAATAAAAATTTCCAGAGGAGTATACAATAATAGTAATGACAAGTTAAAAAAAAAAGTCCTTTTGACACAGCTGTATTTTTGAGGGTATATTTGTTAAACTTTACCAATGTTTTTTCCTTACAAAAAAAGATTAAATTTAAATTTAAATAATAACACAGTGTCATTTGTAGCAGTTGATAAAAAATTACACCTTTTGATTGTTATATTTTGGTATATGGGGAATAAGTGGTAGCTTTCTTGAATCAGGTACCTGGATAAGATACTTAATAACAGGGGAATGTAAAGCCTTTTCTGAGTGTACCATCTTTCTCTGGTAGCTGGAAAATGGTGGTGTGTTGAGAGATGACATGGAACCCAGATCTTGGAGTGGATGCTGACCAATACCAGAAAGGCATCTGTCTGGTGTCAAAGGTGCCATGTTTAGATTCTTGCACTTTGACCAGTGTTGATGGGCACTGCCAATGTTGGGTTGCTTGTAAATACACCTGGAAATGGTATCAGTCTTGCAGGGGCTTGAAAACACCTCAGGCATTTGCCTAGCCCTTTTAATATTTTGGTGATGTTGATTAGTGTGAGGTGGATTCTGTCTCTGATTGTGTGGCTGACGGAGCATGTTAAGTCCTGCAAGAAAATAATAGAGATATTCAGTTCCATGACCTTTGACTTCTGAATGAAGGATGAAAATAAGAATGGTTTGATTAAGGTTGTTTCTTTCTTTCTCTTTTAATTTTTGTCTTTCCGTCTTTCTCTCTTTTTTATATTTTTCTCTTTTGATATTTCTCTCTTTCTCCCTTTCCACCCCTCAGTAACTTTTTATGTCTTTCTCTCTTTTTATATTTCTCTCTCTCTCTCTCCTTCTTAGCATATTTTTCATATTATTCTCCTTTTAAATCTCTCTTTCTATATTTCTTTTTACATTTCTCTCTTCTTTCATTAGCACACTTTCATGTCTTTCTTTCTTTTTATATTTCTCTTTTTCTCTCTCTTTCTCTCATATTTTTCTCACTTTTTATCTTTCTCCCTTTCTCTATCTCTCATTTAGCACATTTTCCATGACTTTTCTCTTTCCATATTTCACACTTTGTCTCTCTATCTCTCTCAGTACATTTTTCATATCTTTCTCTCTTTTTATATTTCTCTCTATCCCCCTTCATAACTTTTTCATCTCTTCCTCTCTTTTTATAATTTCATTTTTTTCTCTTTCTTTCTTTCTCTCTTTCTCTCTCTCAGAACCTTTTCCATGTCTTTCTCTTTTTTTATATTTCTCTCATTTTCACTTTTTCTATTTCTCACTTTCCCTCTTTATATATTTCTCCCTTTGTCTCACTCTTTCATTATATTTTTCAGGTCTTTCTCTCTTTTTCATTTCTCTCTTTCTCTCTTCATAACATTTTTCATGTTTTTCTCTTTCTTTATATTTCTGTTTTTTTTTTTTTCTTTTCATATATTTCTCTTTTTCTCTCATGTGGGAATCTCTTCATGTCTTTCTCTCTTTTTATATTTTTCTCTCTCTCTCTCTCACGTAACATCTTTTTCATGTCTTTCTCTCTTTTTGTATTTCACGCTCTCCTCCCTCATGATTTTTTCATGTATTTCTCTCTTTTCAAATTTCTGCCTTTTTTTCTTTCTTTCTTTCTTTCTTTCTTTCTTTCTTTCTTTCTTTCTCATGTGGTAACCTTTTCATGTCTTTCTCTCTTTTTATATTTCTCTATTTCTCTCTCTTTCTCTCACATAACAACTTTTCTCTTTTTTATTTCATGCTCTCCTCCTTCGTGATTTTTTCATGTATTTCTCTCTTTTTATATTTCTATCTTTCTCTCTCTCTCTTTCTCTCTCTCTCTCTCTCTCTCTCTCGCATGTGGTAACCTTTTCATGTCTTTATCTCTATTTATATTTCTCTCTTTTTCTCTTTATATATTTCTTTCTCTCTCTCTCTCATATGGTAACCTTTTCATGTCTTTCTCTCTTTTTATATTTCTGTCTTTTTCTCTTTATATATTTCTTTCTTTCTCTCTCTCCCTCTCTCTCATGTGGTAACCTTTTCATGTCTTTATCTCTTTTTATATTTCTCTCTTTTTCTCTTTATATATTTCTTTCTTTCTCTCTCTCCCTCTCTCTCTCATGTGGTAACCTTTTCATGTCTTTATCTCTTTTTATATTTCTCTCTTTTTCTCTTTATATATTTCTTTCTTTCTCTCTCTCCCTCTCTCTCATGTGGTAACCTTTTCATGTCTTTCTCTCTTTTTATATTTCTCTCTTTTTCTCTTTATATATTTCTTTCTTTCTCTCTCTCCCTCTCTCTCTCATGTGGTAACCTTTTCATGTCTTTATCTCTTTTTATATTTCTCTCTTTTTCTCTTTATATATTTCTCTCTCTCTCTCTCTCTCATGTGGTAACCGTTTCTTGTCTTTCTCTCTTTTCATATTTCTGTCTTTTTCTCTTTATATATTTCTTTCTTTCTCTCTCTCTCTCTCTCTCTCTCTCTCTTTCTCTCTCTCTCATGTGGTAACCTTTTCATGTCTTTCTCTCTTTTTATATTTCTCTCTTTTTCTCTTTATATATTTCTTTCTTTCTCTCTCTCTCATGTGGTAACCTTTTCATGTCTTTCTCTCTTTTTATATTTCTCTCTTTCTCTCTCTTTCACTTAGCACATTTTTTTCTGTCTGTCTGTCTCTCTGTCTCTGTCTCTCTCACTCTATCTCTCACTCTTTCTTTCTTGCTTAACACCTTTTTTTTCTTATTGTCCCTTTATTAATTTACTAGACTGTGGGTACAGCAAATTTAATATTATATATATTACATATTATGTTTTTAGAATAGAGCACTGAATTTCTATGTAATATCAATTCTTGCATATGGCAGTGAATATTGGACAATCTCCTCAAAGATGAAGAGAAAACTGGAGGCAACTGCAACATGCTTCTACAGAAGGATACTGAGCATTCTATTGACTGAACAAATAAGCAATTAGGAAATCTTAAAGGAAATGGTAACAAAAAGAATACTTATACACAGAATCAGAAAGTGACAGCTGAAATGACACATACTGAGGAAGGAGGGCTTGTAAAACTTAAATCTCACAGAGCATATCACAGGCAAAATAGGGTAAGGCATTGAATCACATACCTGATAAGCTTGTATGAATGGATGGCAGAACAGGTTGTGGGAGGTTTGGGAAAATGCTGTTAAGGGACACAAGGGATAGGAAATTCTGGAGAGCCATGATCGCCCACGTTTTGAAGAAGTTTCCACCATTTCTTTCGAGGTATTCTCTTGTCAGTTCACACAAGCTACTACTCATAAAGAGCTACGCTAAAATTCCATCCTACATCTGAATACACGTTGTCTTTATCTAATTCTTAGAATTTTTTGGAGCACCTCATCTTATGGAATTTTACATATTCTAAACGTGGGTATGTACAAGAAGAGTCTATCATTTTAAGACCAGTTACACACATGGTTTTATTTTAAGCATTTATTTAGTAATTCAAGCAACCAACAATAACAAGTTTTAATTCACAGCTGGTACCCATAACTCTTTCTTTTCAAACATCAAAACATTTATGCTTGCTTGTGTGTGAACATGGGTGTTCGGGAAAGATAAGGAAAAAATACCCAGGGGCTTTTTTAAAAATTTGTTAAGATATTATAATACCGGATTTTCCTGAAAAAGCCCTAAAAAACAAAAAAAAACATTCAAGATACCAAGCTTATAAAAAAATACTATAAATGTATATATAATTTCCTAATTTCAAATTAAAGGTGATGCTTGCCACACCTGTAAGCAAGAGAATTACACTAACTTTGTACATGCTCTTTGTTTATTTAATGAATTCTTCTATTGTTTAAATTCTCTTTTTCTTTCTGAATGTCTCTTTGGTTCTCAAAATTATGTCATTTTCAATTTGATTCATATATATATATATATATATATATATATATATACATACACAAACAAGTTTGATTAAAAAGAAATAACATGATCTGTCTGTTTATGTATTTACTATATTTTTCCAATTTTCAGATATAAAAAAATTAAACAGACATCAAAATTGTTTGGATAAATATATGCTACCTAAATTTACCTTACACACATATATATATATATATATATATATATATATATATATATATATATATATATATATATATATATATGTATGTATGTATGTACAAATAATCTTTAAAAATTAGGAGATCAGTTGAAGCTACCTTTGTTTTCAACCTTACGGTATCCTCAGGTGATTTTTATCAATTGACATTCTAATGCAATTTTTCCTGTTACATATACATATATATATATATATATATACATACATATATATATATATATATTTATTATTAAATTTATTATTAAATGTTTATTATTAATTTATTGTTTGTTATTTAATTTATTATCAAATATTATTGTGCATGAAACAGACCGTTGCAGTTGGATGTTAACCTCAATGTCCACATTTATATTTAGATACACTTTATCCATGCTATTGAGCCATAAATATAGCATCTCTTAAAAGTATATTTTCATCCTATCTCTGTATATATATATATATATATATATATATATATATATTTCATATAATAATTCATTGAGAACATGAATCCTCAACAGAATGCAGAAAGCACTGGACGGCTGTTTTGTCCTTTCTTAGGACTTATCAGCAGTGCACATCCACTACCAAGGATCGAACCCAGACCATTACGATACAATGTAAGCATCATACCACTGGATCAGCGGGCCACGGTGATGAAGATGAAACTAACTAGACTCAATATAGTGCAGCTACTCCTAACCGTCCAATGCTTTCTGCATTCTGTGGAGGATTCTTCTTCAAGACTCAATGAAATATTATGTGAAATTGTTAAAATCTCCAAAAATTTCTATTACTCATATATATATATATATATATATATATATCAACACAATTTATTTATTTTTAATCCAACATTATAAGAATTATTACTGAATATAAGAAAACTATAATTAAATAAAATATTTAGAAAATATAGAGGGAACCATGTCATGTTGATGAGAAAGTGACTGAAGTCCGTTTACTTGCTTCCCTGATAACTACAATCTTCAAAAATGCAATGTCAATCACCATCTTCTGTATTCTTGAATCCTGTTCATCTTTTGTCCTTTCCTCAATCCTCCCTATACTCAGTCTTTCCCTCATTTTTACTCCCTGTAAACTCATACTCATATCATTCCAGACTTACTTGAGGTAAAATGATTAAAGAAACCTGTGCCAGAATTTAGTATAAGTAACATAAAAATATGGGTCCATTTGCTTGGTATCAACAGTTCAGACTGGTGGTTGTAGTGTAATGGTATAGGGAATATTTTTTTGGCATGCATTGGGATATTTGGTCCCAATAAAAGATCATTTAAATGCTGCACTCTACCTAGGTACCGTGGTTGACCATGTGTCTTAGCTTATGACTACAATATGCACATCTTCTGATTGGGCCACAAGCCATGTCATAAACATGCCCTCATTTAGCCACCATAGGGAACCATTTCACTGATAACTATAATCTTCAAAAATGCAATGTCAATCACCATCTTCTATATTCTTGAATCTTGTTCATCTTTTGTCCTTTCCTTAATCTTCCCTATACTCAGTCTTTCTCTCATTTTTGCTCCCCATAAACATATGCATACTAGTGGCGTTCCTGACACTAGACTCCTTGAGAGCAACACTCTGTGCCTTCTTGGCCTCACATTTACACTGACCTGAAGTGGAATGACTACATTGAATCAATAGCTGCATCTACACCAAGGAAAATTGTGTCATTGTGTTGCACCAGAAAATTTTTCTCATCAGAGTCCATCTTGTACATTTAAAATCTACCATTTTCCCATGCATTGTATACTGCTGCCATATCCGGTCTGGTGCTCCTGCAATTCATTTTGAGGTTCTTGACAAAATCCAAAGAAGGATCTGTAATGTAATCAATCCTGACCTGGCATCTCGACTTCAGTCACCCACATCATGTGGCTTTCCTCTATTTTTTCTACAAATATTTTCATGGCAGCTGCTCTGATTAGCATTTTTCCCTGGTGCCTCGACTGCATGAATTTAAGTGTGTCACTAGATTGGCATTTAGGTCCCACTCATTCACTGTTGCTAAATGCAACCATCATTCTACTACATCAGTTTCTTTTCTCACACTTCTCGCCTGTGGAATTCCATTCCATTTACTTGCTTCCCTGATAACTAAAATCTTCAAAAATTTAAATGCAATGTCAATCACCATCTTCTATATTCTTGAATCCCATTAATCTTTTGTCCTTTCCTCAATCTTCCTTATACTAGGTATTTTCTCTCACTTTCACTCCCTGTAACCCCCTTCCCCCTACCGTGTACTAGTCACTTTCCCACCTTGCTTGGGGTGAAATGGTTAAAAAAAAAAAAAACTGTGCCAGAATTTGGTGTAAGTAACATAAAATATGGATCCACTTGCCTGGTATCAACAGTTCAGACTAGTGGTCATAGTATAATGGTATGGTGAATATTTTCTTGGCATACATTGGGACCTTGGTTCCAATAAAAGATCATGTAAAGGCTGCATTCTGCCGAGGTATTATGGTTGATCATGTACCTTAACTTATGACTAAAGAGTGCACATCTTCTGATAGGGCAACAAACCATGTGACAAATCAAAAAATAGTAGCAGATTGTTTGATAAAGCAATGGGTCTTTTGTATTAAAATGGCCTCGACAGTCACCAGATCTCAGTCCTGTAGAGTACTTATAGGATGTGGTGGAAAGGAAGATTCAAGTCATGGATGTGCAACCAACCAATTAAGAAGAATTGAAAGATACCATAAAAAAAGCATGGACCCAAATGAAATTGGAACTCGGCTCTTCAATTTTCAGTATCAAGACATTATGTATTACACCAGTGTATCCCAATCTATGGCCACATAGCCAAAATCGGCCATGGCAAATTTCAGGTGGGCCACAGAAATGTTATAATTGGATATACTCTATATAAAATGGAAGTAATTTTTTACACCATAATAATTTCATGGGTCACAGAAAAATTCTGGGTTCATAGTGGGCCATGAGCTAAAAAACATTGGGAACCACTGTATTACACCATCTGCACATCCAGGCTTACCACCAACTGGTATACCCAAGCAGTCACCCATCTAGGTACTGACCAGGCTTGAAGTTGCTTAACTTCAGGGATTATGTGAGAACTGGTGTTTCAACCTGATATGGCTGTAAGCCGGTAGAATGGGATTTCTGTATTCAAAGCCTTAAAGAAAACAACTGAAAACCATTTCCATATTTTTCCTAAGAAGTTAAATTCCCAGGCAGTAAAAAAGAAATCCATGGAAAGCCATGATTGCCTTTACAGCTTGTTTTTTTCTCATACACACTAGCGCATTATGGTGCAAGTAATGACAAGGAAGATGAAGATAATGATTCATAATATCAGAATAAAGGACAATAAAGCAGCAGACGAATTGGATGTTTCTTCTGTTATTTATAATTACAATAAATGTGATATTGTAATTAGAAAGAAAAAAACAATGCTATATTATGACTGACCTCAATGACACCAAAGTGTCTAGGAAAATTGCAGACAAGATATTAATGTATAACAGGATGAAAACATTGAAGTCGAACACTTACTCTTGTGAAACCACTTCATTTTAGCAAAAACGATGATATTACTGACTCCATGATTAAATATAAATACTACTTTATTTCTTGATTTTACTTCCTTGTTTTTCTCTCTTTTTCTCTTCCCCATACTTTCATCCTTGTCCTTTTTTGTCATCTTTTCTTTTTTTCTTTTTACATTTTTTTAAAATTATCTCCTTTCTTTCTTTCTTTCTTTCTTTTAATTTTACCTTTCCTTCATTGACTTCCTTTTACTTTCTTTTTTTTTTCCTTCTGGTTCTCTTCCCCATACTTTCATCCTTCTCCTTTTTTGTCATCTTTTCTTTATTTCATTTTACGTTTTTATATAAATTATCTCTTTCTTTTTTCTTTCTTTATTTCTCTTTTAATTTTGCTTTTCCTCCATCAACTTCCTTTTACTTTCTTTTGACTTATGGCCATATCACGAAACACCAGTTCCCATCCGATCACTGAAGTTAAGCAATGTTGAACCTGGTCATTGCCTAGATGAGTGACAGTTCGGAAATACCAGATGCTGTAAGCTTGGTTGTGTGGGTGATGTAATAGGTAGAGGCTTGGAATGAGAAATCAGGAAGCTGAGTTTGAATTCCAGTCAGGTCGATTACATTCACTTATGTGCAAATACCCTTAGTAAGGGTACGAATTCACCTCTTCTCCCAGCTATGGATAAGAAAAAAAAAATAGTATGACTTGTAGCAGAAAATCATTATTATCTCGAAAAATTTTTACATTGCCAAAATATGTTTTGCCTTTAAGTAAACCTTAAAAAAAAGATTGATAAGCCATCAATGATGTGTCTGTATGTTTCTTAGTCTGACAAAGACAATCTGCTTGTAGTTCACACTCCAGAATTGGAACCTATTATAATTTCAGAGCTATGTCTTTTGTTGTATGAACATCTCAGTAGATCTTTATGGATCTTAATGAAAGACAAATTTTGCAAAACCGTTTGAGTTGGAATATAAGACAGGAAGCAAAAATATAAATTTATATTTAATCAACGAAGTACCAAAATGCTGATACTGCCCATAATTAACATAGAGCTTCATATGGAATAAATCCTATAAACCATTTTTTTGTCAGATTAATTCTCTGAGTGCTTATATAAGTGAATTGGTGGTTGCATCTAGCTATTTCTACCATAAAACAGTGCAACATAATTGCCAATCTAGTAGCATGCTTAAATGCATGTCGCTGGGGTACCAGGGAAAAAAGCTTGTCAGAGTTGCCATAAAAATATTTGTAGAAAAGACAGAGGGAAGCCATGTCACGTCATGTCACATCAGTGAGAAAGTGATTGAAGTTGAGATGCCAGGTCAGGATTGATTACATTACAGACCCTTCTTTGAATTTTGTCAAGAATTTTGAGACATACAGCAGGAGCACCAGACTACATATGGCAGCAATATTCAATGTATGGATGAATGGTAGATTTATAAATGTGTAAAGTGGATTCTGACAAGAAAGATTTTCTGGCACAACATAGTAAACCAGCTTTCCTATCTGTAGACGTAGCAATTGATTCGATATACTCACCCAGCTTTATTTCGGTGGAAAACATGAGCCCAAGAAGGCGTAGAGTGTTGCTCTCTTGGAGTTTAGAATCAGCCATCCTGATGGCAAACAGAAATGGTTTTCTGTGGTGATTAAATGAAAGTAAAATTAAGGAATCAGCACATATGCTACGCCACAAAAATCTCCTGAGCCGACCAAGCATAGAGATAAATACAATATGGGAACCAGTAATAAGGAGTGCCAGAGAAAAGCACTGATAACAACAAAGTTGTAATATGAACTCTGGTAAAAACATGCAATGATAACAGCAAAATTGCAATATGAGCACTGGTAAAAATGGCCGCTGAAGACATTAGGTTTATAATACCCAGAAATTCATACCCAGATGTCCTCAAGGACACATGGCACAGTTGATAAAGGCGTTGGTTAGATCCAGTGACAGGAGCCAAAGAGTGTGAGTTCAATACCCGGTTAAAGAGGGAAATTAACAGGAGATAACTGATAACTGACATCCATCAAACAGTCTACCCCAGTGAGCGAAATAAAGGGTTCGGTTCAACATTCCAACCACCTGAAGAAGGCCGGAGCGTACAACAGCCGAAATGTTGTGATAGATATGGCAAAAAAGATGAGGACAATAGTCTAAATAATGTAAATGAAAGTAGTTTTGTTTTGGAGGTTTACAAGCCATATCTTGCTCCAGTTAACCATCTTGCTAATACACTATATCTCCTCCTGCAGCTAGCTTGATCTGGCGACTAGTCTAGGAGAAAGAAAACCAGTAATTGGAGCGGGTTGGGCACTATGTAGCTATCATGAAACAGCACAGCTACTGTGACTGCACTACATATGATGCCTCTATGACCCTAATGGGTTATGGATCTTGTGATCATGGTTGTTTACTTAATGTGAGGCTCAAGAGACACTCAAGATAGAGGGTTACAGAATTCATTTGTTGTAAGGGTATAAAGGGAGGAAATAAAAAGCATCCTCTTGGCAGTCTGTTCCACAAAGTAGTAGTTCTTAGGAAGATGCTTGATTGAAACTTCCTCCTTACAAATGGAATACAAAGGGAATGTGGATGTGCTGACCATGTGTTACAAGGTCCTAGCCGTGCAGGTTATGGATTGGTGTTATGGGTCTTGTGATCATAATTGCTTACTTAATGTGAGGCTCAAGAGACACTCAAGGTAGAGGGTTACTGAATTCAATTGTTGTAAGGGCATAAAGGGAGGAAATAAGAAGCATCCTCTTGGTAGTCTGTTCCACAAAGTAAAAGTTCTTAGGAAGAACCTGCCTGAGTGAAACTTCCTGCTTACTAATGGAATATGAAGGAAATGTGGATGTGTTGATCATATGTTACAAGGTCCTAGATGTGCAGGTTATGGACTGGTCGAACTAAGGAATGTAGCTCACCAGAACATTTGCAAAGAAATTAGTGGTAGAGTAGCAAGAGTCTCACAACATTGCATCTGTGGGAAAGAGGTTGTAAGGCGAAAAATAATTAATCACGCACAAGGCTGCATAAATCCGTTCAAACTCTATGAAGACTGGAAAGTGAGGACTGAGCAGAACTTCATTTTTGGTCTTATCTGGCTCTTGTAAAGATAGGGAAGGTGGATTCAGGTTCTTACTAGAATGATACAAGGAATCTATCATTTTTTTCAGTGTCTATGGCGATAGATATATATATATATATATATATATATATATATATATATATATATATATATATATATGATAGTTATGGTATTTATTCATACAATTTGTCACCTCTGAATCAGGATTTTTACACTATAACTTGTGGCGCCTTGGACTGATCAAAGATCAGGAAAGAGTATAATGAGGAAAAAAAAATTTATCTCAGTAAACAGAAAACAATAAAAGAAATCCAAGACAGAAATGGCAGAAATTAAAAGAGGAATAAAAAAATAACAGAATTGGTGATTAATTAGTAATGTTAGATGTAAGTCTAAAAGCACAAAAGATATTGATTGACTGAAAGTTATATATGTCAGCAGGTGCTGAAAAATTCTTGGAAATCTGACCAAATGACCAAACATTGGAATTTATTTTTGAATTGCTTCTCTTGGTTGATCTGAGAGCTTTCCAACACCCACTCATAAAAGTAATTTTAGTTTAAAATGTCTTGTTCCTTCTTTTGATAGATCAGTATCTATATTTATAATGCTGTTTGTCAGTGGTTCTCTCTCTCTCTCTCTCTATATATATATATATATATATATATATATGTATGTATGTATGTATGTATGTATGTATATTTATCTACCTTTGTCTATATTTTTCTCTTTGCTTAATAGATAGGTATTATGTTTCTGAAGTCACTAATATTAAATTTCCTTTCTAAATACTTCATAAAAATTTGATTCTGTGTTAGGTGAAACGAAATAAATATCAAACTCAGTCTGCTATGTTCTTTCTTTCTTCCTTTCTTTCAAACTCAATCTGCTATGTTCTTTCTTTCTTTCTTTCTTTCTCAGTTTATCTAACAGACTATCTAAATTGACTCTAGTCTACTTTTTTCTTTCTTTCACTCTATCTTTGTTTCATTCTCAGTTTATCTATCTAAAGTGAGTTTAGTCTTTTTTCTTTCTCTCTATGAATCTCAGTTTATCAGTCTATCTATATCTATTTTAGTCTACTTCTTAATTTCTTTCTTTCCTTCTTTCTTTCTTTCTTTTTCTATCAATCTCAGTTTATCTATCAGTCTATCAAAATAGACTTTAGTCTATTTTTCTTTCTTTCTCTATCCTTGTTTCTATCTCAGTTTATTTATCTATCTATCTGATTTTAATCTTTTTCCTTTCTTTCTATGAATCTCAGTTTATCAGTCTGTATCTATTTTAGTTGAATTCTTTATTTCTATCTTTCATTCTGTCTTTCTTTCTTTTTTCTTTCTATCAATCTCAGTTTATCTATCAGTCTATCTAAATATACTTTTGACTACGTCTTTCTTTTGTCCTTTCTTTCAATCTTGGTTTAGCTATCTGAATTGATTTAGTATACTTCTTTATTTCTTTCAGTTTCAGTTGATCTATCTATCTATCTATCTATCTATCTATCTATCTAAACTGACTTGTCTATTTCCTTCTCTCTTTCTTTTAATCTCAGTTCACCTATTAGTCTATCGAAATCTATTTTAGATTACTTTCTTTCGTTCTTTCATTCAATCTCAGTTTATCTATCTAAAGTGATTTTAGTCTTTTTTCTTTTTTTCTATCAATCTCACTTTATCAGTCAATTGATATCTATTTAAGTCTGTTTCTTAATTTCTTTCTTTACTTCAATTTCAGTTTATCTATCTATCTATCTATCTATCTATCTATCTATCTATCTATCTATCTCACAGCCTTTTCCTATTTATTTCAGTCTATTCATATCTATCTATCTATCTATCTATCTATCTATCTATCTATCTATCTATCTATCTATCTATCTGTCTGTTATCACTGAGTTATGCAGTATCATCTCTCATCACCTTGGGCCTCTTCCTTTATTTTTTCTTTTCTGTTTAGTCCATTCTTTATCAATCTCAACCTGTTTTAGTAACTTGAAACCTTTTGCCAGTATGCCTGCTGTGAAGCAATGCTGAACAAACTTGCACTGGAGAGCATTTCTCAGTGCAATTAGTTTGATCCACACTGGGTGTCCAGGTAGCATAGACTATGTTTAGTAAAGATTCCTTTGGAACATCTGTTAAAATAAGCTGGTCAAGGTAGCTTTTTTTCCCATATATATAATTTGATCTCTTTTGATGATTTAGAAGACATAACTTTGTGTCAGGTTTAGAAATTGAAGTTAGTTCTACCAGTTAGAGTAAAGTTAATTTTTTAAGTATCAAGTTACTTTCTAGAAGATATTCACAAACTATAGTAAAGATAACTTTATCATCAAGTTAGTACATGAATATACTTATAAAATCTGTGATAATAGAGGAGTATATGTATTTCTCTTTCCATTATTGTGCTTGCTAAATGTTCAAGTA